TGAGGGAAACGTCCTAACAATGATCAGTGAGGCCATACACAGAAAAAAACAACACCATCAACAAGAAATTACCAGAGAAAGAGAATAAGTATCCTTAAGACGTTTATAACTAGCTTTGCTTGTCCTTGGGTTATGGACACTGCCTGGGAGGAAAGGACAGCAGTGACTCTAAGGAGACGGCTGGCAGAGCCATGGTGCATGAGCTGCCTTGTGCCTCTGATGTCCCAACTTATGACTGTGAAGAGTATGGTGTAGCTGTGTTTTCCCATATGTTGGCCACATTCACAGCCATTTAACATTACATTCACAGCCATTTAACATTGATACAAATACAAAACCCAACATAAAATATTGCACTGATCAGTTGAGGAACGGAGCTGTCGTTCAAGTAATCCAGTTCAGGGGTGAGGAAAGTTTCTACTCTGCTTAAAGATGTCTGTGTGAAATATTTCACTGCTTTGGAATCAAAATTTTAAAAGGTGATACAATTTGCTTGGGGCATGGGAAAGACCAGACATATGAACATATTCCTGCAAGGTGGCAAAAGATATTGAACGACTGAGTTTTCCACATGATAGAAAATTCCAAAATTTGCCTATATAAAGTTATTAAACACTGTAATCCTTCAGTCTGGGTTTATACTACAGAGAATGATACTAACGCTACTTTTATTAGGTGATCTAATAAAACAGGTTCCCATTATGATTGTCTGCCTAATGATGGGTACCTTACCTCTGTATTTAGAATTGCATTATTTCTTGCTAGTTACAAAAGCGAGAGCCCAAGGTGACTTGTGCAGCTGTAGATATTGCACTAATGAATCCCATCCTCACCCTACTTCTTGGAAACTGTTATCCGTGCATTGCTTTTCTGCCTTAAGCACCCCTCGATTTTATAGGCCAGAAGAAGTCCCCTGCTTAGGGACAGGGTTTAGCGGTGGAATGGCAGTGTTAGGTTAACTGTTGGACTTGATGATCTTAAAGGTCTTTTCCAACCTAAACGATTCTATGATTCTATTACACTGTCATTGGGCACATGATTCAATCATGGCTGATCACCAGTATGTAAATATCTGGCAAGAGCTCTTTAACAGCAACATTTAAATGTAATTCTCAGAAAACATAATCTCTGGTGATATGCAGCTATATCATGACAGTGAATAGCTAAGTTCTGGGTAGACAAATCATTGCCAAAGGGGTGATCAGTTCCACCAACATAATTCCCTCCACTGATGCAGCAGACGGTATTTGGTACGTTTGTGATTCACAGTAATTTAGCCACACACAACATTTCTGTCTTGGGTATTTGTAAGCTTAAAAACGATACCTGTTTAAAGATGCCCTAGACATCACTGAATGTAAGAAGCCACATTACCTGTTGTATAGTATTTCACTCATTAAAATAAAGGAGTCGGCTTCTCATCTAATGTATATTGACAGATAATGACTTACGATGGGAGATCTGACCTTTGCCTTTAACCCTATAGCCTATATTTTCAGAACCTGAGAACATGCAGCTTTGAACTAGGATCACGTCTTGTGATCTGAGTGCAGTTCAAACATGACACACTCAAAATCATGCGGTGAACAGGTGATTAAGTACCATTTTGGACCTCAGTTGCCCATTGCTGATATTTCAAAGGAACAATAAAAACATATTGCTTTCATATATGCCATAAAAGAGAAACACATGCCCAGACTATCAGCAGGGACCCATGTATTATCCACTATAAAAATACAATAAGCAGACAGCAATAAAAGTCATTTTCACAGGAGCTTGAGAGATACGGAAACACAATCACACGCAGTTCCTTTCTTTAATCCCAAGAGTTGAACTCTAGAACATCTTAGATGAAGTGTGACAGGTAGTGGCATTTTCTTTTTACACACTATAAAAAATTGGGCACACCAACCTAAATCTATTTTCTGAGGAGCTGAGAGCAGCAGCTATATGGAAGGAGAGCAGAGATAAGAACCAGCAATACGTGATGAAATCTCCAGTCCACAGCACGCACTGGGCAGAATACTCAGCAATGCTGCAGTGGGCCAGCTATAGCCTTCTTACACCCCAGTAAATCTTCCCTGTTAGAAATCAACCCTGAAGACTCCTGCTTTTCAATTTCTTTTTCTCACATTGCTGTGGGATAGGATCCCCAAAAATAGAGATGTGTGTTTAGAAGGGTAACACACTGTATAAAAGGTTTAGGCTGGCACGGAGCAATGTGTTTGAGACCAGTTCTAGCTGCAGGTATGTTAGACATACAGCTCCCTCTTTCTCTTTCCCGAAGTTTCCTTTTTTTTTTTCCTGTCCTCACATTGCATGTGCTAATGTTATTATTTACTGGTGGCTGTACCAAGAATACCCTGCCATTATAAACTCTAACTCCATGTTCTTAGGAACCTTGATGTAAGAATGCTACCACCTCCTGCAAAAAGTGGGATTCTTATCCCTGCGTGACTCCTTCTCCGAATGTTTTGCTTCACGTGGCGTAAGGAGGGATAAGCTGCACAGACTGCCCATGAGACAATCATGTGGGTAGGAGATAGGTGGGACCAAGCCCCTGCCCTGCTAACTGCTGTTAACAGCATAAAAAGCATGCAGCAATGAATTTATCACATATGCACTGCCCATGAGGCATTCTTAGAAAATCTTACCGGTGACTACACTATATTTCATAAGCTGAACCTCAAGCAGGTTTCAGAAAGTTCAGGAATATTATGTGTTACAAAATAACATTGCAAAATTACTAGAAAACAAAACAAACCAACAAACCACAGTGCCAGATTGCATACCCTATCTCAAATTCCTATTTTACTCTTATATCACTGCAGGGTATGATTTGATTTAAGGAGGGACATCATGCAGTGATAGAGATGGTTGTCTTCATAGAACAGATCTCCCCCTTAAAGGGTGACTTTATTCCAAATAAACCAGCAGGACTTGGATGCATTTCAGACCCTGACAGATAAGCCACAGGTCTCACTTTCAGAGTCATGACCCAGATTTTGCTCCAGCATTTTTTGCTCTACTGCTATACAGAAATTTGCTCAGATAAGGGGTATCTTACTGAATAAGGACAGATCAGGATGCATCTTATTATCCTTATGGTACATGTCTTGTTGTTCTCAGCTCCAACAAAATGCAGCAGGCATCTAAAGTGTTAAGCCAGTCACCTCAGTTGGCAGGTACAAGGGCATACTTGATGCAGAACTCAGTGGCACAGGGGCTCTCTCCAAGGGTAACAGATGCTTCAGCTGTGCTGTTTGCCGCTGACTGCAATGCGCAGATATTTAGGACTCAGAATCTTTTGCATATTTAAACAAGAGACAATTTTTCAGTGTCACAAAAAAAGAAAAATAAAAAAGGAGGGGGGGTGGGCTTTAAAGCCCAAACATACACGGTTACTACTCTATACTAAAGATAATAAATGCTGGGCAATATGCTCAAGCCTCTCTTCCCAAGTTTAAGTTGCTAAATGGGTGCAAGCATCAATAAATTGGCATCCTGGAAAAAGAGGTAAAGGTTCTGCTGGGGTACTTATGCATGCCATATTTAATAGGGTCCTTGTATGTTATAGAATCATAGAATCATAGAATCACTTTGGTTGGAAAAGACCTTTGAGATCATCGAGTCCAACCTTTAACCTAACCCTGCCATCCCACCACTAAACCAT